GGGACTCATCATGCGACACGCGGCTCGGGAGCTCAGAGGGGATGGTCGGCAGGCTGTGGTCCGCAAAGTTCAGCGTGTTGAGGAAAGACGGGCTGGGGAGCGGGGACATCGACGGCGACATGGACGTGCTACGGTCGTACGCAGACCCGGCCTCGTACTCATTCACGAATATTTGGTTCGCGGGGAGTATCTTGCGCGGTACTCGGTTCGCACGGGCGGAACGGTTCGTGTACGACGAGCGACGCGAAACGGAGGCGATGGGCGGCGGCGGCGGGAGGGGGGTAGAGCTGGTCGAGCTTGATGCTGCGAAGTTCTGGCGCGCTTCGTCGATGACCTCTGCGCATGGTGGCCAACTCATCAGCCGCTTTCAACTACGAAGCGGTGGCCGGTACTCACTCTCCACGTTCTGGATCCAAATCGTCATCCGGTCGATTCCACTATCTGCCGCCTGCTGCTCGCTGCGCACTGTACGGTAGAAGAACATGAGTCAGCGAGCACATCCCTTTTGCGGGTAGATTTAACAACCACGAGGCCGTAAAAAGACCCACCCTTCGCAACAAGCTCCTCATCCTCCCAAGACGCGCGAGCGCTCAAGCTCATGCGCGACTCGTCTTCCTCATCCGCATCGTTCGAGCCGAGCGTCAGCGCTGGCGTCGACCGGCCCAGCAGCTGCGTCGACGACTTGTACAAGCGCACAGCGCCGCCTACGCATACATCCAGGTCAGAATAAGAAACACACATTCACAACGGACCAAAGAGGCACGCACTCATGGACATACGGAGATTCTGCTTGAGGATGCTGATTCCGGACTCGTTCGCAGCCGCGTTGGGCTGGGGATTGATGTCCGTCGGGGACTCTACCAGCTGTGAAGGCTCTGCACGCAGCCCCAGTCAGCCGTCGCTCTGTCTCCCACCAACACGAAAACGCATACCTTCGAACAACGGGCTGAGAGGCGTCGCGGGCAACGCGCTCCCGGTGGGCGACAACGGCGGGCCGACGCTGATTTTCGGGAGGAAGTACTCGCGCTCCTGCGACCGCTCCCTCGACCGCTCGCGCGCACGCTCGACCATCTCCTGCCTCGCGCGCGCCTGCACCTCCCGCTCGCGCTCGCGTTCACGCTCACGCTCCTCCTCCGCCTCGCGCAGCCGCTCCTTCACGCGCTCCATCTCCTTCAGCCGCTCGCGCTCGCGCTCCCACTCCTTCATGCGCACTCGCACCGAATCCTTGCTCGTGTCCGCCGCCGCCGCGGCGCTCTCGCCGCTCGCATCTGCCTTCGCCCTGACATCGCGCGCGCTGCGCTCGGCCTTCACCCCGCGCTTCGCACCCAAGGCGGCCGCGGCGACCGGGGGAGAGAAGACGTTCTCGTCCTGCTTCCGCGCGGTCGTCACGTCGCGCAGGATCTGGCTGCGGCGCCGGTCCCTTGTCTCCCTCTCGCGCGCATTCTCCTTGCCCCCCGGCGCGTTCTCCTTCGAAGCCTGCGCACGCAGAGCGCCGGGCGCGAGCGCTTCTTTGGTCTGTACGGGAGAGGTTGGGGGCGAAGGCGAGCGCGGGCCGAGTGGCTTGCGCGTCGTCCGTGCCGGTTTCGCCGCCGGAGCGACGTTCTCCTTCGCAGAGGCACTTGGCGACGACGAGGTGGCTGCGGCAGCAAGAGACGCCGCGGGGGGTGAGTGCTTGACTGGGGAGAGGGCGGAGAAGACCGTGGGTACGGCATTCTGGCGTTTCGTCTGACTGACACCGCGAGCTGCAGGGGCCGAACTCAGCACGAATGAGACAGCACGTAGTGCGGAAAATGTGTACCTTCGAAAATCTGGAGCTTCGGCTGTGACTGAGAACGCGAGTGACCGGGGCGTGTTGGGGCGCTAGCTTCTGCGTCCCTCTTGCCAGCCTGCACATTCTCCTTCCCAGATACGGTGGCGAACTTGACCCTATCTTTCTCCCTGTCGGTTTTGACGCGCTCTTTCTCCTTCTCCTTGTTCGCACGCGACGACCACGGGGGGATTACGTCCAGCAGTTTCGACACCTCCTTGTCGAGGATGAGCGAAGACGTACGGGAGTGCGATACGCTCGCCGATTTCCCTGCAGCCATCGGATCAGTCATACACCCGCATGTGCAGCAGGCGCACAGCTCACGATGCGACGACACAGAGTCTGCGCCCGCAGTCCAGTACGGGTCTTTCATCGCGTCGCTCGCGGTACACCGCAGGTCCGCATTCGGGAGGATCATGCGCCGAAGGAGCTTCTCCACGGGCTTGCTCATGCGCCACGCGCCGACCCACTTGCCACGGAGCGTGCGCGCCCAATACTTCTCAAGGTCGTCCTTGGTCGCAAACGTCTCGCCCTCGGCGTGCTCAAACGGCGTGCGGCCAGCAAGGATCTCGAAAAACGTCACGCCTAGCGACCACACGTCCGATTTACGTGTGTCGTGTGGGAGACCGCGCGCGCGTTCGGGGGAGAGGTACTGTGTGAAACGTCGTTGGTATGAGCATTGAAGCGCGCACGTCGAAGACTATGTCAAGGCAGCGAACCTCGGGTGTGCCGTAGGAGAGATTGCTGTGGAATGCTTCGGACGAGTCGAGGTCGTATCGCTCTGCAAAGCCAAAGTCAACCAGGATAGGGACGTCCTCGTTCGAGAGAAGAATATTCGCGGGCCTGTCTCTGTCAGCACCGCACGTCTGAGCGACGAGAAGTGGCAACCTACTTGATGTCGTTGTGCACGACGCCATGCTTGTGAAGGAATTCAACCCCGGAGAGGAGGGAGCGGAACCATTCCTTTGCATGTGGCTCGGAGACCTCGACGGTGATGAGGCGGGGGTGGAATGCCCTAGCGGGGGGAAGCATGCCAGCGCGGGTTAGATGGGGTTCGGGCGGGGATAACGGCGGGCAGGGGCGGGAATACTTACATGGTAATAAGAGCATATGAAGGGGTGATGATGAACGAGTAGAAGGGGATGATGGATGGGTGAGGCTCGTGTTTCAGTGAGCGAACGACTTTCATTTCATTCCATCTGGGAAGCGTTTTGAGTGTGAAGACGGTATAAAGGAGGGGAGGGTCAGGAAGAGGCATACAGTGACCTGACTCTTGCTGCGGTGGTGGACGTCTTGGACCTATGTACGAGCTTGACGGCGATCTTGGTCTCTTGGAGATGTTCTCCCGACGCAGACTTTGGGCGGCATAGCCAAACGCTGCCCCAGTTTCCGAAACCAATCTAGGCACGAGGGAAGACGGTGAGTGGTGGTGCACGGGCAGGAGGGGCAGTGGAGAGATGACTGACTTCTTCGACGAACTGGAGTCTGTCAGCGAGAACCTGGTCAGAGATGGAAAAGATGTCAGTCGCCTCGTGTGGCGGCTGTGGTGGGGGGATCATGGTGGCGTAATGGCGGGCAACTAGTTGTACAGTTTGAAGGGGGGAAGGGGGAGGAGGAAGGAGGAAGAAGAGCTGGCGCGAGAGGGCGGGGAGAAGGAGGACAGAGCTCGAGCATCCGTAGTTCAAGCCCTCGCTTAGCGGACGAGTCGAACATGGGCGTGAGAAGCGAAGCCGCCTACACGAGGTCCCGTCGCGTCGCGTCTCGCTTACGCGCCCACGTCCTCTCCGCCCGCAACACCCAACAGCTCACGCCACCGCGTCCCCGCCTGCCTATTCCGGCGCCTCGTCCAAATCAAGCACTGCGCACGTTCTTCTCCTGGCCAGCACCGTCGTGCATTCCACAGTCTTGAGCACTTGCAACGCATCCGCTGGGCTGCAACGGCACAGCAACAAGAGCACCGAGCGCGGTCGTCATGGGGTGACACCAGTGATCCGTGGCATAATTGACGGGCGTCGCCGTAGGATCGGCCCCGCACATGGCGCGGACCCGAGCAGGCATCCAAAGCACTAGCGAAAACATTCATCGACAGAGTCGCTCCCTCGCTCGCGCCCACTCTCGCACACGACGGTCCTTCGTCCTCCGTCCTGCAAGCTACTTCTCCTGCGATGCTGTATTCTGCCTTCTGCCCTCCCTGCCTAGACCAGTCCCTGCTAGGGTCAACAACCCGGCGATTAGCTCGTGCCTCTCCTACTTGATCCGTGTTTGAGACTGCATCTGTTCGGACTCCGTACATCTGCATTGACGCATCCTGTCAACCTATCATAGCGCAAGGTACCGAGACAACCGTTGCGAGAACGTTTGCAATGCAGGAACCATGTACGTATTCGGCCATGTTATTCAGCAAGCATACTGTGCAGGATACACCGGTGTACTTTTAACGCAGGCTATATCTCCCCAAACAGTGTAGTTCGACGCCCGTTGTACGATATCTGGCAACAAACGCTGGGCAAGTCGCTGCCGTTCATCTCCTAATTCGCTTTGGTGGCCAGTCCACTGTTGTCAGAGTATTCAACACTGAATATCGCCCGCCCGCGTTTCGGGTCTTGCAGAACATACGTTTCTCGTCTCATATCTCTACTTTCATTATTCTTTTCGCCATATTCCCTCAGCTCAGCGACAGTACTTAGTAGTAGTACGGTCACGCCCTTTATCCTTATGAATTCCCGCCCTCGCCCCCCATCACGCCGTCCCGCGTTCAACGTTCTAAGATTTTCCTGGAGCACAATTATGGTAGCCTCCGAGTGCGTACGCGCCAGTGATGTTCCGGTCGGGCGACTAGTCGCACGACTGCGGTCGGAAGTCGGAAAGGTGACGACGACTTCGCCTGAAATGGCAAGTCAGCGAGCGCGGGCGGGAGCTCCTGCGCGACTCTGAGCGCGAAAGCAGGCGCCGACGGGATGCAGGGGTTAGGGTCACATCCGGCCGAGGCATAGTCGGACATGAGCAGCGGGCCGTGCCATCCCGGGTAGACTCGCTCGTGGGAACAGTCGTGAACATCTGCCAGTCGGCGACTCGGTCGGCGACTAGTCACATAGTCGGGTTTCCGACTTCTCATGCGACCACGCAACTGGTACATCACTGGTACGCGCATATATGCGCTCTTAGCGTAGTAAAATAAAAATGATGCTATGTTAGCCCACCGCGGGGGTCGAACCCGCAGCCTTGAGATCCCTAACGAGGTGGGTGCTACCCATCCGTAAAAGTCTCACGCTCTATCCGATTGAGCTAGGCAGGCGTTGATAGACTCCGGCTAAAGATTGTTAGATACCTATGGTCATTCTCCCTTGACTGTAGTTTGGGAAACGAATCATCTCTCCCAATGCGCAAATATTGGGGACACCCAGGCAGTTCGCAGTACCATAGTATCTAGAGAGAAAGAACTCGAAAAAAGAGGTCTTATTGAAGTTCAACTCACTACCGGCAGAACGCGATCACGCGCATATATCAGGCGCCTGTTGCGCGAGAACACGACACGACGCGCTGATAAGTGCTGTATAGTAACTTGGTTGCTTGACCACGCGGCATCTGCCTGTTATATACCCTGTGTTGCCTGTCTGTATCGCTCCTCTCCTTACAGTTAAAACCACCACCATCGCTCTCGAGGACTGCTCACCACACCTTGCTCCATTTACATGCTTGATGTCGTCTGAGGCATTATGAAGCGGTCTCCGACATCTAGCCCCCTCGAAATTTGCTCGATAGCATGTGCTCCCCAGATGGTCCGTGCCCTTCTTCAACCTTTTGGCTGTGTTACAACGCTTGATGGCCCACCCAGACAAGTCCCTTCTTCCGCTAGGTGTCCTCTACTCAGTGCCTCTTGCGCATGCGGAATTTGCTCGGGCGCGTCAAGTTCCGACATTACTTGCCATGGCATGAGGTGCATATATATATGATGCCGCTCATCCCCTTCGTCGCCGCCTCACCGTTCATGAAGGGGGTTGCCGCTCTTGTTAAGGTCTACACGCTGTCGCGCACCTCCGCGATCTTCCACAGACGCTTGATATGCACTCATTGGTGCAACGGAGTGGATCCCCGTCACTCTAGTTGGATGTGTGTACGAGTGTCGAGCTCGGCTTCCTCGTCCATCCAAGGCTGAGATTCGGACATGAAGTTCATGTCCGCGCTACCTTCCACTGCTTCATTTCGTTATACCAGTAACCCTTGTTCATGATTGGTCTCCTCTGCATGCTATGATATCTTTTGTAGCTGTTCACGCAGTTTAGAGCGTGTCGCGGAGGGATCACCTGTGTCGCTCCAGCACGAAGCCCAGCATCGTTCCCCATGTGGATCGCACCTTGTTTCGCTCCAGGCTTGTACACTCCGACAAGGTCGCGATCGTTCGCATAGGCCTTTTGGTCATCATTAGTCTCGTGAGTTCATTCCCGTTTCGTTGCTCCTTCGTTGTGCTGATAAAACGTACGTTCGATAGTTCACTCAGGTCACCGTGTGTGAACATACGTGCGGTTCCCGGATGTGAAACGGCATCCTTCCGTCTTCAAGGCGCCTCAACATTGTTTAGACGGGCCCCCTATGTGCAGTTTCCAGTGCGGATCAATAATCTCGCCGTAGTCACCTGGCGCGAAACTCGACATTCTCCAGGCAAACTGCAGTCCGTCACACGTTCGCCCCCGGTATATCTTCCACGGGGTCGGCAAGATCATCCGGATACGCCGTACGCTCATCCATGTCTCGCAGATATCCGTATATCTTCTCCCCTAGGTTGCTGTTCTCACGTCATAGGCTCCGACAGCCTAGCTCGGGTCACCATGCGTACGCATACACATGACTCCTGAGTGTAGAGGCCCGGGATGCCCCCGTTGTCCTCTCAGGCACCTCCACATTGCTTGAACAGCCACGTCGTTCTCCTTATGCCTTCGGTGAGAGCGCAGACCTCGACAACGTTCTATTTACTGACTGAATGATATACTAGACTTGAGCTTGAAGCGATGCGTGTGCACGCGAATCGTGACAAGCGCAAGTGGGATGCGCCCTCCGCCTCATCCTCTGTGCACGGAAGATGGCGCGGAGTTCTCGGATGCAGCTCCCTGCGGGCTGGTCGACGGCCAGCGAGGGGGCTGTGGCTTGTGAATAAGCACGTGCAGGTACGCCGTCGACACTGACCGTTGCATCTGGCAGTTCGCTCATCCTCAGACACTCCCAGGTATCGCCCTCAGCACACCCCAGCCTTGGAGACGCAGCCGCGCGCTGCCCTCGACTGCAATTGCCTCGTTTAAGCGATGGCTGCCACTCCGTGCAGCTGGATCTGCACTGCTCGGACGCCGTCGCATGTCTAGGACACTAGATACGAATGGCTCCGAGCCCGCGAACCTCCAGGTCCCCTACGACATACTGGATCAGGTTCAAGCCGGTCGACTCGTAGTGTACTCTCACGCGCTTGTTGGTCTTTCTCTTTGTGCTCCGGACGCGGAGGGCAGGGAGCTGGTGATGGACGCACTGCTCGCATCATGTAATATGTCGAGTGATGCACAACAAACAAGTCGCATTTTTGTTACACCTCGTCGACCCTGTGAGTGAGCTGTTGGTGGTGTAATGCAGGCGAGCTGTTTCTATAGTATGTCGACGACGTAACGATGAGGGCAATACAAGCACTACAATCGACCACAATAAAGTGATGTCTGCGCCTGTGTTCGGTCCTCTGGTCTCCGCGACAGATGCGCGTACCGAGTCCCTACCTAGTCCGGCGAGCTGGTAGTATTGCAGCCTCGAAAGGCCGACGATTGCACTAATTGAACCATAACGTCATCGAATGACGCCCGAGGCGAAACCGATCCCGTCCGAGCGTCCCCGCACGCCCAGCGCTGGTGCCCGCACATCTCCCTCGTCTCTTTCCCCACCCTCCCCTCTCTCTCATCCGTCTTCTTCACTGCTTGACGATGGCCTCTCGTTCGTTCTCCCGCCGCCTCTTCGCTCAGTCGCTCCGCGCCCCTCAGGGTGCCGCACGCGCGGCAGCTCGCCCCGCCGCCAGGCGGTTTGCCAGCACGAGCGTCGAGCACGGCGCGAAGCAGAGCAGCGACACCACCTGGATTGTACGTCACCTCGCACGGCGGTCGTCTGCGTATCCGCTCACCACAACGCTCGCCATGGCTGCAGATCGGCTCTGCGCTCGTGTTCGGCCCTGCGGTACGCATTCTCCCTCGATGACGTCGCACGAGACCTGTCTCGTTGACCGCTATGTGCGTCGCCTCCAGGCTGTGTACCTCCTCACGGCGTCTGGCAAGGACAAGGGCAAACACCACGCCGATGCCCACCATGCGGCAGCCGCAAAAGCACACGCGCCGTCTGAGGAGTTGATCAAGAAGGACGAGCCCAAGGAGGAGGCTCCTGCCCCCGAGGTACGCCTCTCATGCTGCCACTTGGAGCGGATTGGGCTCATTTAATGTTCGCACTGCAGGAGGAGCAGCCTGCGAAGGATGAAAAGCCCGCAGAGGAGTCTGTGAGTCTCACTCGTACAGTCTAGACCCTTACAGCGCGGCCTGCTGACATGCGGGGTCCGTTCCAGGCACCCACGTCTGACGACGGCAAGCTCCACGGCGCGCCCGCCCTCACCGACTCTGAGGGAAACACCGCCTCCGCCGAGGAGGTCGACGCGTCCTTCAAGCAGGCCTTCGTACGTACTACTTGCAAATTCCGCGTCGTTCGGACTGCATCCTGACTGCCCGCTTGTGCATTCTGCCGCGTGACGAGCAGAAAGCCAACATCCCCGAGGACGCACAGCGTGCGGAGGAGCATGATGATAAGTTCGCGGACGGCGCAGCCGGCCAGACCGCGGAGTCGGAGACCGACCATGACCAGAAGGAAAAGCCTGGTCGCCCCCATTCTGGCACCGTCCAGAACGAAGGCGACAGCGGCCCCACCGACCTTGGCGATGCTCGTGCGAAGGCGACTGTGAGTACCGCTATGCTGCTAGGTTTTACGAGGCTTAATATAGCGTCATGTGCGTGTTTAGTCGAACCAGGCGCCGAAGCAGGCCAAGCAGGACTGAGCTTGGACCAGTCGACAATGGACTATATGCATGTATCTAACTGTCTATTATCGTAGGCGTTGGAAACCCCTTGCTGTTCAGAACGTGCCCTTTAAGAACGGTTCAGTATCCTATAAGGTGTATATGGCACTATGCCGGTAGGTCGCCGCATGATAGTCATGACCTACGTCAGGTCAAGTAGAAGCGGATGGTGCAGGTGCAGCCTCCCCGGCCACCACCTCACTCGAAGGTGCCACGGTCAAATACTTCTCAAACCAGCGCACAACCTGCTCCACCGCGTCATCCCTCGCCTTCCGCTGCCGCTCGTCCGTCAAATTCGCCCTCGTCGTCCACCCGTGCTGTACGCCCTCGTATACTACCACCTCGACGTCCCCCTCCCCCAGCCCGCGCGCGGGCAAGCTTCCCCTGAGGATCCGCTCCGTCTCCTCCGCCCGCGCACGGTCAAAGTTCGCGTCGTCCGCGGCGACCGCGAGGCTGAACGGGCGGCGCACGTTCGCGAGCTCGTCGGGGAAGCGCACGAGGGAGGGGTGCGCGGCGACGGACGCGTCGAAGAGCGCGTTCAGCGTGATGGCGAAGCGCCCGCCCCAGCAGAACCCGACGAAGCCGAGCTTGGTGTGCGGCGCGGCTGCGGCTGCGGCGCGCAGGGCGGTGGCGACGGTGGTGATGGTGCGCACCTGCCGCGGGAGGTTGCGCAGGACGAAGGGGACGAGGAGGAAGAGCGCGGCGGGCGCGAGGATAAATCGCTGCAGGAGGGATTTGTGTGCGTTGGACGGGTCGTGCGCGTCCAGGCTCCACGTCGGCACGCTCCAGCCTGGTCGGGCGCGTGTCAGAACGAGGACGGCGGCGCGGGAGGATTCAGAAGGGAGGGACAGGAAAGGGGGGGAATGCGCGCACCGCCGAAGAGGTCGGGCACGACGACGCGGAACCCGCGCGCGGCGTACTCGTCCGCGAGGAGGCGCGTGTTCGCGAAGCGCCACCCGAACACGTCCACGCCGAGGACGATGATGCGCGGGGAGGAGGCGTCGCCGACGACGTATGCGTCGATCCCGCCCACCTTTGTCTCGGCCCCGACGGGTGTGCCGCTGTGCAGGGTGCCGGTGACGCACTCGGGGCAGGCCATCGTGTTGCCGATGCTGAAGCTTGAAGCTTGAAGCTTGAAAGCGAGGGCTGGGTGGGTGTGAGCGAGGCGACGGGGGCGGGAGGAGAGAGCACGCGTCGCGTCCGCTTTTTGT